CCTCTTTACTAAGCACAGTACTAGGTCGGTAACTGAAGAATATGAGAAAGATTCATGTTATTTATTTTTAATAAAGCAGGTATTGCTGTTTCTAACCCAGACCTGATCACCTGTCTAGAGCAAGGAAAAGAGCCCTGGAATATGAAGAAACATGTGATGGCAGATGAACCCCCAGGTAGGTGAGAGTGACACAACAGATGACATGAATGAGAGGTCCAAAAAAAAAAAAAAAAAGAAAGCCAATGCTTAAAATGTTATTTGAGAAGCTGTGTTCCAAAGCAAATATTTTCTGGGAAGCCTGAGTTTTTTTTTTTTTTTTTTTTTTTTTCTCTTGCATAGGGGCATCTTCTGTCTTATGCTTTTAAATTCTTTAAGGATTCTTTCCCTTTGGTGAGCTCCCTTCAAGTTTGCCATCAGAACCAAAGTCCTCTTCATGGCATACGAGATTCACATTCTGACTGCTTTTCCATTGTTTTTGGGGACACACAAATATCTACATGATTTTGAGAAACTCTATGTTAAACTATTTTCTTTTCTTTTCTTTTTTTCTTTTTTTTTTTTGAGACTGAGTTTCATGCTTGTTGCCCAGGCTGAAGTGCAATGATGTGATCTAGGCTCACTGCAACCTCCGCCTCCTGGGTTCAAGCAATTCTCCTGCCTCAGCCTCCTGAGTAGGTGGAATTACAGGCACCCGCCGCCATGCCCAGCTAATTTTTTGTATTTTTAGTAGACACAGGGTTTCACCATGTTGGACAGACTGGTCTTGAACTCGTGACCTCAAGCAATCTGCCCGCCTTGGCCTCCCAAAGTACTAGGATTACAGGTGTGAGCCACTGCACCTGGCCAAACTATTTTCTTAGTTCTCTTTTTGTATCATGTTTGAAATGTGTAAGAGGTAGTGGTTTCTGTTCCATTGTTTGTTGTTGTTGTTGTTAACTTTTCTGCACATTCTATTCTGTTCTTATTACTATATTCTTGATATATAGTTTGAAATTATAAAGTGTGATGTCTTTCTACTTTGTTCTTTTTCCTCACGATTGCTTTGGCTATTTGAAGTTTATTGTAGTTTCTTACAAATTTTAGAATTGTATTTTCCATCACTGCGAAGAAAAATGCCACTGAAATTTTGATAGGGAATTTATTGAATCTATAGATTACTTAGATAATAGGACACTTTAGGCTGGGCGCGGTGGCTCAAGCCTGTAATCCCAGCACTTTGGGAGGCTGAAACGGGTGGATCACGAGGTCAGGAGATCGAGACCATCCTGGCTAACACAGTGAGACCCTGTCTCTACTAAAAAAAATACAAAAAACTAGGCGGGCGAGGTGGCAGGCGCCTGTAGTCCCAGCTACTCGGGAGGCTGAGACAGGAGAATGGCATGAACCTGGAAGGCGGAGCTTGCAGTGAGCTGAGATCCGGCCACTGCACTCCAGCCTGGGCGACAGAGCGAGACTCCGTCCCAAAAAAAAAAAAAAAAAAGATAATAGGACACTTTAGCAATATTTATTTTTTCAATCTGTAGACATGCAATATTTTTAAATTTGTGTCTTCTCTAATTTCTTGTATTAATAACATGTCTTTCCTTGTAAAGATTTTTTACTTCCTTGGTTAAATTTGTTCTCAGAAATTTATTATCTTAATGCTATTTTAAATTGTTTTCTTTCTCTGTTAGATAGTTTGTTTTAAGTGTATGGAACAGTAACAATACTGGTATGTTAATTTTATGTTTTGCTAATTTACTGAGTGTATTTATTAATTCAGACAAATTTCAATGTAGTGTTCATGGTTTTATATATATAAAATCATATGATCCATAAACAGCAACTTTTTACTTACTTGTCTTCAATTTCAATGGCTTTTTAAAAATGTTTTTGACTCATTATTCTGCCAAATACTTCCAGTGCTACGTTAAAATAGAAGCATTGACAATGGGCACAATATTGTTTTGCATTAGTGTCTGTGAATTTGAAGGAGCAAGCAACTCCTCAAGCTTCTATAAACTGGTTTCAGTAGGTAAAGATCTTTTTCTGTTATGTTTCCAGGGTCATAGAATGCTGTCTGGGTTTGTAGTGGAGAGGGGGTGTAGCTTGGTCACAAGGCTGCTGGGACTGCACTAGGGTCTACCTTTAGTTGGCTTGTTACAGGGGCTTGGGTAGCTGTAATCCCCATTTTATTTTTGGACAGACTGAATATCCTTCAGGACTTTGATCTGTAGAGCAGACAGCAGGGCAGGTTTCTGCAGTCAGGCTCATATATAATGGCCCTTATATCGGGATATGAATGAGTATGGCTTTTATTGAGTACCAGAGAGGATTACTGTAGTTATGCAGACAAATTCTTTTGTAATGGTATATCAGTGTTGCACAGCAGATTCTATGAGTAAATATGTCACTTATTGTGCAGTTTCAGTGTTTTGTTAATGTAGGTTTCTTAACATCGAGTTATTGTGTTTTTTTGTTTCACTTTTGTATTATAATTTTGGACAGCTTGCAATTCGGTTTATCTCTTGTAATTAAGAGATAAATCAGCCATATGTCTGTCACAATTAGATATATATGTGTGTCTGTTTATCTATAAATATGACCCCAATATTGGTTATGGCTTATCTTGTATATATTCTTTCTTAACTAATTTTCAGTGGTTTTTATCTCACCTAAGTGAGTAGTCATGGAAATATTTTCGCCATCTCTTATTTTCACCATGTGTTTAATGATGGTGTTTCTCTCACCTTTGTGTACTTTTATAATTTGAAGGTAATTTTTGAAAAGATTTATAAAACTGTATTTTTTTCAGTTTTTCCTTTAGAAAAATTAATTGTTGTAAAAACACATAATATTTACCATCTTAAATCTATTTAAGTGTACATTTTAGGGCCAGACATGGTGGTGGCTCACATCTGTAATCCAGAATTATTTGAGCTCAAAAGTTTGAGATCAGTCTGGGAAAATATGGACATATGTTTTTCAAGATGTTTTTTAAAAATAGCCAGGCATGGTGTTGTGCATCTGTGGTTCAGGCTACTTGCAAGATTGAGGTGGAAGGGTTACTTGAGCCTCAGAGTTTGAGGCTCAAGTGAGCCATAATTGTACCACCACACTCCAGCTTTTTGACAGAATGAGACTCTGTCTCCAAAAAAGAAAAAAAAACACAACTCTACATTTCAGGCAGTCATGTTAATTATATTCACATTGTTATGCAAAAGACTTTTAGATATTTACATTTTGTGAAACTGAAACTCAATACCATTAAATAACAACAACCCATTTTACCCTCTTTCCAGCCCTTGACAAACACCCTTCCTCTTTCTGTTTTTATGAGTATGACTAATTAAGATATCTCATATAAGTGGAATCACACTGTAGCCATCGTTTCGTTACTGGCTTATTTCAGGTGACATAATATTCTCAAAGTTTATCTTAAAATGTGACAAGATTTTCTTCTTCTTTTTTTCTTTTTTATTTTTGAGACGGAGTCTCCTGTCGCCCAGGCTGGAGTGCAATGACGCAGTCTCGGCTCACTGCAACCTCTGCCTCCCTGGTTCAAGCAATTCTCCTGCCTCAGCCTCCCGAGTAACTGTGTGCCACCACGCCCGGCTAATTTTTTGTCTTTTTAGTAGAGACAGAGTTTCACCATGTTGGCCAGGCTGGTCTCGAACTCCTGACCCTCAGGTGATCTGCCAACCTCGGCCTCCCAAAGTGCTAGGATTACAGGTGTGAGTCACACCACTTGGCAAGATTTTCTTTTTTAAGACTGAATAATGCCGGGC